CACTAGCTAACGCTGCATTAAATATGTACTGTTTTTTATTTACAGATGTTCTGTCTTGTGCACTACTGTCAGGATACAGTGAGAGTTTCAGCAAATATGAGAAAAAAGTAGGGCTGTCAGTCGATTAAAATATTTAATCGCGATTAATCGCATGATTGTCCATAGTTAATCGCGATTAATCGCAAATTAATCGCACATTTTTTATCTGTTCTAAATGTACCTTAGAGGGATATCTTTCAAGTTTTTAATACTCTTATCAACATAGGAGTGGACAAATATGCTTTATATGTTTGTTTATTATCATTTGAACAATGACAAATATTCTCATGAATATTAAACACAACAACCTCTGAACATTACAAATATTCACCTCAATTCAACCTGGAACCTCTCATACAATAATACTGTGTGTGTGTGTGTGTGTGTGTGTGTGTGTGTGTGTGTGTGTGTGTGTGTGTGTGTGTGTGTGTGTGTGTGTGTGTGTGTGTGTGTGTGTGTGGAGACACTGTGATGGATCGTCAAGGCATATATGCTCGAATGGGAGCTGCCTGGACGCTGCAATCATGTTGCGCGCACTATCCGTGCTGACTGTGCTGACTTTTCGTACAATGTCCCACTGTCTGGCTACCTGCATAAAGTCAAGTGCTCGGCGCAGTTGTCGGCGAAATGTCATTGAAACAGCTCCTTATATCCGTCAGCGCAGCTAGCTAGCACCAGATGCTAACAACAACACGTAAGGTGTGCCTCGCTCGCGCGAGTCGCGCCCTATGGTCGCGCCACACATACACACTCCTTCCCGGTCCTCCCGATGGCCAGTCCGGGCCTGCCAGTGAGCGTGGTAGTGTGGTCTGCCACAAGCGGGTGGCAGGAGCGGGGCTGTCAGCATCAGCTTGTCGATGGTATTTTACACTCGATGCGCTCTGAAACTACGGCGGCCGAGGACAAAAAATACACATGCGTTAATCGCGTTAAAATAATTAGTGGCGTTAATTTTTTTTTGCGTTGACAGCCCTAGAAAAAAGTAATTGTTATTAAAGTTTCTTAGTGCAGTTGTAATCTTTCATACAGTACTGGACTCCCATCTGAAGTTACACATTGAACAATGAGCCACAGAACAAAAGGAAACATTTCAAAAACTGTTGATGTTTTAGGCTCCTGTTCTTGGGAGCTTAACTAAAGACCTCATTGAACCCACAGCTCCTGAGGAGGAGGAGGTTTGTATCGAGTGTGTGTGGCAGCCTGTTAACCTTGGGAAGCTCTTCAGAAGCCCAAACACTGATAACACTACATGTGGATCCTCCTGTGCAGAGTTTGGATGGTTGTGTAGCAAAAAGCTTGATGTGAGTCCAACTGAGAAACTTTGATCTTCCAGTCTGCCGGCTGTCCCATGAGCCACACACATTTATCTCCCTGTTACTGATTTGAGTTTTGCCAAAGCTGCATGAAAAGGGAACAAAGAGGGTTTAGAACTTGGCGCCTAAAACTGAGAGAGAAAATGTGCTAGTAAGATAAATTGTAAATATTTTCTGTTTAGCGTCTGGGACACTATCTGAAGGTTCGGATAGCTAATCAGTTCGTCCCATTTCATATATCCAGGGATGGAAAAGTACTCAGGTTTTACTCGAGTAAAAGTAGAATAACTATGGGCTTAAAACACTACATTACAAGGAGAAACCCTTGTAGTAGACGTACAAAAGTATTATCAGTCAAATGTACACAGTATGCAAATTGGTTCTTTGTTTAGAATATTGTTATTCAGTTTTTATCAGAGGTAAATACATTTAAAATCATTTTAATGCGGTAGTTTTTCCATGTTGAGCAGATTTTAGATATTTTTTTAAATATTGGGTATATCAAAAATGACAGTATGACATCATTTGTTTTTATATAAACAAAGTAACTAGTAGTGTTAAATAAATGTAGTAGAGTAAAAATGTCATTACTTATGTAGCATAAAACGAAAATACTCAAGTAAAGTACAAGTATTGATCCTTAAGTAAATGTACTTTGTAACATTCCACCACTTTATCTCTATTATTTGTGTATGATTGTACCTGTATTTTTTAACTGTTTGTCATGAAATTGAATAGAGCGCAAGGAAAATATAATGAGTTCACTTCAATTTCCCATTTATTTTTCTTTCCTGTTGGCCAGCGTGGGACTTTTTCTTTGCACCGCATTCATGGTATTCCACAGGCACACGCGTGCATGTATGACCTTGTTTTCTTTCTCGACAATAGCTGGGAAGTTATGCTGCAGCCATCTGTGTTGCTTTGCAATAAACTGCTGAAAGATTTTCCCCGGGAAGTGTGGTCCTTGTCCCGCGCAGAGTCAGACCCTCATCACATAACAACTCCTGCGAGTACCGGCCCATCCTCACTCCGGGAACCACCGTCCTGCTGGCACGCGCTCGCTGCTTCTCCCTGATTACCAGCTCCAGGCCTTGGATCCTCTGGGCCAAATCTGTCACTCGGGTGTTCCAAGAACCATTAAAACACCCATCACTCGCCTGCCCCCCCCCCCCCCCCCCCCCCCCCCCTCCCCCCCACAGAAACAGCCTCCTGGACTTCACCTGCACAGCTGACAGCTCGGCATCACAACATCTCCTCCAGCTCTGTGTGGTTTATCACCCTGACAGAGGAAGCTAAAGCTAATGCTAACCCACAGCAGACCCCTCACAGCCTGCGGGGGGGGTCCTGAGGACTCCACTAACCATCACACACTCACATCAAAGAGCTTCCTGAGCTCAAGTGGCCCTCATGGATAATTCTGCTTCCTATACAAGGATGTTTTGCTGAGCGGGTGAAGGGTTCAGTGGTAATTGTTTGAGGATGATTTTGTATTGCCACCAAGTGGGGGAAAAGTTAAATAGCATACCTATTATTACTATACATATATTTCATTGGATTACCACACATTTTAGAATTCAATATTATGCTCATTTTCAGGTGTATATCAGTATGTAGTGTCTCTACTTTAAAGAGTCCTCTCCTGCTGATGTTCAGGTGTATATCAGTATGTAGTGTCTCTACTTTAAAGAGTCCTCTCCTGCTGATGTTCAGGTGTATATCAGTATGTAGTGTCTCTACTTTAAAGAGTCCTCTCCTGCTGATGTTCAGGTGTATATCAGTATGTAGTGTCTCTACTTTAAAGAGTCCTCTCCTGCTGATGTTCAGGTGTATATCAGTATGTAGTGTCTCTACTTTAAAGAGTCCTCTCCTGCTGATGTTCAGGTGTATATCAGTATGTAGTGTCTCTACTGTGACATGTCTCCATGCTTTAATGTTCAAAAAGCTCTTTATTTTTCTCATACTGCCTGTGCTGCAGCACCTCTTTTCACCCTCTGTCTGAAACCAGAGCCCAGTCTGCTTTGATTGGTTAGCTCTGTTGTGATCAACTGCTTAAAGATGTCCCACCCCTCAGCCTATCACGTACAATGTGGGCCTTTACATGCACAAAAACCTCTATAACGCACTACAGGAAAGGGAGAACCCCCCAAAAGGGCCTCTTTAAAATGATGAAAGGAAATTAAGAAACATTTAGTGCTGCTTGCCAAATACATTTAACATTTTTACATTTGGCACTTATCAGCCAAAATAATACATATTTGCATAAATATAGAATATAATGACATCAGAGGATATCAAAAGAGCTGCTGACCTGGTTTTCTCCATGATTTTAAATATATGAACACCTTAATATATGGAACGATGATTAGGAGAAGACTCATTGCCAACTTAGTGTACAAAGATGATTCATAAAAGGGTCCGAAAAGTGAAATGTTAGATTCAAATGTGAGTGGATTGATTGCGAACATACCTATTTACATGTCAAATGTGGCTGCTTGTGTTATCTGCCCCAGGTGTACACAGCATGGATACATATGAAGTTGAAATATCGAAATAATTATTTCCGCTCATCTGTCACCGCGAGGCAAACACCAACAGGTACACCAACACCGCGAGTCACCGTCTGAGCGCCGAGCCAAGAGGAAGCGTCAGGGAAAGACCAATTAAGCAGGCGCTGACAGCGACTAAATGGCTGGATTAAAGGGCTTGTTCAGTAAAGGTCAGGATGCACGCCGCTAATCTGAATCATGAGGCGAAGACAGGCTGACAGGAAGGGAGGAAAAACAACTCCATGTCACCGATGAATGATTACAGTGCGTGACAGAGGGACGAGTCAGAGAGGTAGAGCGGTGAGTTAGAGGAGCGTTAATGAAGCACAGGGTCGATGCTTCCCTTGGAGCTCATTGTGTAAAGAACAATGCGAATCCTTGACACACTAACACGCATTCACTCTCCGGGGTAAAACATAGCAAAAATAGCAAAGATTTGGCACTCATTTTCACAGTTTTGGTTCAAAATGGATGACTTTTTATCTGCAGCAATGTGGCAGATGCAGAAATGTTATGTTCAAATGTGAGTGGATTGATGACATTATACAGTATGATTGCAAACATACATATTTACACATCATTTGGATGCTTGTGTAATCTTGTGAAAATAAAACAGAAAAATAGAAGAAAATTCAAAACTATTTAAAAACTGCCCCAGGCGTACACAGCATGGATAAATATGAAGTTGAAATATCTAAATAATGACAGACACTGCATGCAGGATATACTGAGATGTAGATGCCACTGACTGCTTAATGTTTGCTTAATCTGACTGCATGTTTGTATGTAATTGTTACAGTGGGAGGATATCAAAAACTAATATTTGGGGCTAATTTCTGCCCCTTTAGTACAAAATGTGTCTGCACCTGGAACATCTAGTGCATTACGTTGCTAGTTCATATGTGAAATGAGTCCGAATTAAATCCATACAGTAATCACAAACTTGGTCCACCATGAGTGAATGAAAAGGCCTTATTTTGTTAAACAATAACACAATCTGAAATCTAAAGGGGGCATGTTTGTGCTGTGATTTTTTTTTTTACACATATTAGCTCTTTTCCACACATTTGTGACACCGTTAGTATGTGGAGGGTGTACTCACGTTTTCCCAGGGGATGTTTTCATCCAGAAGATGTCGTCACTGGTCATGCCGTGCTCCATCGCTCCTGGGATCTGTAGTGAGAGTTAAAGATGTGAGCTAGGGCTGCACGATATATCGTGTCGTGACGATAATCGCGTTATGCGCATGCACGATATTCACATCGCAGGACGTGCAATATTAAGTAAGCAAATGAACTCAAACACGTCATGTTACAATTCTTGTGCTGCTTGCTACAAAAGGAAAACTTGCGCGGCTCTCATGTCAGGGGTACTTGAGTGAGTGACATCTGCATGCACAGCAAACCACCAATCACAACCATTCTTGATCAGATCACAGCAGGATAACCGAGCTAGCTCAGCTTGTTGCTCTGATAACTTAAGATCCAGAAGTCCGTGACTAAAATCCTTCATCCGGTTGAATATTGTTAAAAAAATACTAATTGTATAGCATTAAAGTTCAAGAAAGGATGGTTTGCAAAAAGAAAAAAAAACTGTCTTTTCTTCAATTCCTGTATTTTTTCATATCGCAATATATATCGCAGGGGAAGAAAATCGCAATGTCAGTTTTGTTCAATATGGTGCAGCCCTACTGTGAGCACAACTATCTACAGACCTATCAAAGTGCAACAAAAAAAGGCAGCTATCTTATGTGTTACGGCTTGTATGTGTGTCATGCTTTCAAACCACATTTTGACTTTTCATTTGTTTTGTCTACCTGGTAACCAATAAATCCAAACAACACATGCTGACTGAGAAAAAGGGCAACATAACGTACATTTGTGGGGTATTTGGGCCGTCCTCCTGTGGCGATCACAATGTTCTTGGCCGTCAGGAGGGTCTGTGTGAGAGGAGGGAAACGTGAAGTCATAGCTTTTGTTCATATCCTTAAAAAAAACAAGGAAACGTCAAATGGAAGCAAGTGGTCTCCACAGTATTCTGCATTCAGGCGATGATGGAAACTCTTTGAAATCACTGAAACAACCAACAGCAACACAATTGAAATGCTGAAAATGTAAGTGTGGAAGCAAAATGACACTTGCATTAGGAATCAGAGTGATTATGTACACAAACACACAGTAAGATGCAACAACAACACGTGTCTTAAAAACGTAATTATGTATATTTTGGTTTGGAACCGACTGAATGTCTGAGCAGCTCACCTCTTTCCCAGCTTTAGTCAGTCCTCTAACGGTGTGTTCATCCAGCAGACTCCCTCTGAGGTTCAGATACTTCACCTTCCTGTCAGACCCAATAGACAGCTTGTTAATCCTGGTAATGCATCACAGTAACATGTGGTTTCATTTGTACAATTCAAGTTTCCCTTTGTCACACTTATTTTTTAACCCACAATTGCTATTTTTAATAATGTGTGCTACATGTTAGAAAAACATCACTAGAGCTCCTTTGCTTGTTGGAAAATCAAACGTATTTATCAACAATAATTGATGACATATTTATTCAACATATTGTATTTTGTATAGGTAAGGCAAGTTTATTTATATAGCACCTTTCAGCACACGGCAACCCAAAGTGCTTTACAAAATAAAATACAAGACATTTAAGAATAAATACAGTAGAAGCACATTATAAAATGGCATTTAAAAAACAGGCATTTAAAAAGCAAAGATAATAAAATAAACGCAACAGGTATAAAATACATGAATAAAAGCCATACTGCAGTTTGAATATGAACAACTCACTCAAATGCAGCGTCAAAAAGATATGTTTTTAGTCTTGATTTAAAAGTATTAACAGTTGCAGCGGACCTGCAGGATTCAGGGAGTTTGTTCCAGATGGTCGGGGCATGCAAACTAAACGCTGCTTCTCCATGTTTAGTTCTGACTCTTGGAACAGAGAGCAGACCAGAGGACCTGAGAGATCTGGATGGTTCCTACTTCTGCAGGAGATCGTTAATATCATTTGGTCCTAAATCATTCAGTGCTTTAAAAACCAGCAATAGCACTTTAAAATCAATTATTTGGTGGACTGGAAGCCAATGTAAAGACAGACTGTATATTGTTAATATTGTAAACTCTTTTCCACTTTTTAAGTATTTGTATTTTAATGTTGAGCACACTGTTCCTGTAACAAAATAATGTCCTAATTTGGGATCACACACACACACACACACACACACACACACACACACACACACACACACACACACACACACACACACACACACACACACACACACACACACACACACACACACACACACACACACACACACACACACACACACACACACACACACACACACACACACACACACACACACACCTGTTTGCCCTGCAGCCGGCCTCTCAATCAACATCACTCCCTCAGCTGTGTGTGCCAGCAGAAACGTACAGCCTTCAGCAACATTTGGTTTCAGACAACTAAGCAAAAAGTTATCGATAGAAATATTCCAATGCTTGGTGGAAATTAGGTTTTTAAGAAATGTCATTATGGAAAAATAAGCGAACATTGCTACAGTGGGCTGTAAATATGGGACACAAAACTTCCACTGAAACTCCTTAATGGCCTGTTTCGTCCAACATTATTGCAAAAAAACTAATTATAAACGTTATCATCATAATTGAAATACATTTGAACAAGGCGCTCAGAGCTGGTGTCACCTACTTGTCCTGGAGCTGAACTCTGTGACCCCAGTTCAGAGACCTCACGTGGTTTTGAACAGCGTCTGCCATGGTGGCCCTGAAAACACACCAGAGGTTAATGAATGAATGAAATTAGAAATATTGAGCAACATAAATTATTCAAATATGACAAAGTATAATTTTTGCGGATTATTTTGCCCTTAAGAGCAATGAAAGCATCACTCACAGCTTTGCATTTTTAAATGTATATACTTTTCGGAATTGTTCAGGATTCCTACGTAATACATTTTTTGGGGAAAAGGTCAGCGCATCAAGCATAGAGTGAAATTCAAATAAAATAAGCAAATCGATCCCATTGCCATTAAAATAATATATGTTCCAAACACAATTAGCATCCTTGTCCTTCTTCATTGTCACCACTAGATGGTGCTGTTGGGCTACTCATAGACTGATTAAGATGAATACATATATGGGGAGAGTTTGGATTGACCTACCAAAAGCAAACCAAAAAAATAAAATAATCCAACCACAATTAGCATCCTTGCATTTCTATATTTTCACCACTAGGTGGAGCTGTTGGGCTACTCTTTGGCATTAATCCGCCTGTTTTGACTGATTAAAATAAGAACATCGAATGGTTAGAGTTTGGATTGACCTACCAGTCGTGGCAGATTGGCCCTGAGATCTGCCAGCCGTACTTCTGAGCATCTTTCACCGCCGTGCCGAGGAGAGCGGCCTGATGCATGAGCTTCTTAGGAATGCAGCCGACATTAACACACGTACCACCGAGACCCCACTTGGTACCTGTTGGGAAAATCATTTAGAGAAGAAATGAACAATCGATGTCTATATACACTACCAGTCAAAAGTTTGGACACACCTTCTCATTCAATGGTTTTTGTTTAATTATTTTCTACATTGTAGATTAAGACTGAATACATGGGGCTAATTTGAAGAATCTAAAATATAAATAATATTCTAGACACTTTTTTGTGTACTAGATAATTCCATATGTGTTCTTTTATAGTTTTGATGTCTTCAGTATTAATCTACAATGTAGAAAATAATTAAATAAAAACCTTCGAATGAGAAGATGTGTCCATACAAATAGCCTTTTTGTAATTAACTTGGATTAACAGGTTCAGAAATGACAGGTTTTTTACCTTTAGCAGTTGGCTCCACATAATCTAAAACAGCAACCTTCTGTCCCAACTGTGCCGCTGTAAATATAGATATATTGTTAGCGTATTATGAGATTTGCAAAAGCATACATCACAGACATGAAGAAATAACAGGCACTTAAAAGGATCTCACCTTCTTTGGAACAGGCAAGCCCTCCTGAACCGCCTCCAATCACCACCAGGTCGTAGTCATACTTCCCTGTAGGAGCATATTGGATGATGAATAGTAGACACAGCAGCATTTATATACATTTAAGTAATTCATGTATTACTTTTAAATGTACATGCACACATACACACACATTTATATTAAATTAGTGAAAATGTTACAGTCATTTTAATAACCAAATTATGAATAAGCATTGTCTAGATGACCAGAACAACTAAACTAAACCACATATCATGATGACAAACACTTTTTGATTGCATAATATATATATTGGAATTATTATTTTACTCAATATTATGGTCATTGCTTTATGTTGCGGCTTGTAGACTGGAGCTCATTTTAATCAATTAAATTGTTTTTATTTGTTACTTTACATATTGCTGTGTAGCCCTTTAAATCCCCACTAGAGACCAATAAAGGCTGACTATAATATAATGATATAATTATAAATGTTTGTATTGTTGAACTGAATCTGCTATGTAACTAGTAACTAAAGATAATGGAGGTAGACTATTTGCCTTGGAGATGTAGTGGAGTAGAAGTGCAAGTGCCTCATGTTGTATTATGTAGAATACTCCAGTAAACGGACTGAGTTACGTTCTACTTAATGAAGTTGTATCTTGACACAGAGTTCAACACAGAAAATAAATAAAGGGTATTTTTCTCCAGGTGTGGAGAAGCTGCTGGTCACTAACCAGTTCAGTGTTTGAGGACTCGTACTGGTTAATAAGGCCAATACAAACATTAAACCAAGCAGCCATTAGAGATGTGTTTTATGTAGTCTGCCTTTAAGAAGGTGGAAGGTCTGGGTAACCAAGGAAACCAGGTGAAGGTGACAGTTATTTCCAGGGTTACATGAACAAGTGCATCGACCACAAGTTACATCAGCGCTGCTGATTTGTAAATGAACGGTTTGACAGTTTAATTTTTAATTTTTGTTATCTATTAACCTGAGACAATTCCCTACTTCTTAACTACACAACAACATATCGTTACATACCTGTCAGGTTTCTAGTTAAAACGTGTAAACAGTTATTCCTCTTCCACCGGTGTCTGCATCTACAGAGCGCCGCCATGTTGTTATTGTGATAGGACCCCGGTCGGTGTGTGCTGCCCAGAGAAATGCCTGAATATAAACGTGTCGTAGGATCCACAATCGAGTAAAAATTGTACTTTTCAATAGCCAAAACAAATCTGTCAGTATCTGATATATACTTTATGGTAAATAAGATAACACCCCCTTAATGTAAAGTTATATTATAAAGTATGCCGATATGGTGAAAATGGTGAGACGCACAGGCTGCAGTGGAGACGCTGCGCACAGGTGATCGACAGCTGGAACACAAAACACCAAATAAAACCACAAAACAACATAAGATAACTGAGGAACATTGTTGTCAACAACAAAGATTGCATGTAGTATTAAGTTTTAAACAATTGTATATTGAAGCTAACCTAAATCCTTAGGTTTGTTTCTAATTTCCACCTTCACTGAAAAGTGAAGACAGCTCATGGTTTACTAAGCATGTACATGTTTCATATATGTAGCTTTGATATAGCTATTTGCTTTTATCTCAATACATTACATTTAACTTATTTGATAGTGGTAATCTTCCAGAACCAGTGTCCTCCTCATTTGGGATAACACACAATCCTGACTTAAATTCAGACTGTTTCCTTGGAGGTAAAAGTATTGCCAATGTACAATAAATCCCATTTTAGTAATTTTGGTGAATTGACCAATCTCTTGAATGGGTTGTAATGAGCATAGTAGCCTCTAGGGGCTGCTGTTGTGACTTTAAAGCTTGAGACTTACTGGAAAATAATAACACAATATAAAAACAAGACACATAGTCAAGCAACACATTCTTTCCAGGCATGATTTATTGAAAACACACCAAATGTATACTCTACAAACCAGTATTTTTCCGTTATGTTTAACAAGCGTAATATTTGCCTCTGGGTATTAGTAAAATTAACATAATACATTCTGTCACTGTGGCATCGCTTCTGCTCGCTACGAAAGCATCAATAACTTTACTCCTCTAGGAAATCAAAACCATTATTTGTAATGATTCTATCTTTTTAAAAGTTTATAATACAATGTAACACAAGGCAGAAACCCACCAACAGTCTAAACTACTCGGGGAGGGGGCAGGATGAATGAATGAGTTGATTGGAGGAAAAAGGGAGAGAGGGGGAGGTGAACAGACAGAATGGAGAGATGACAGTGGAAAGGGAGGGATATAAAACACACTTATCTAGCATGGAAAAGGTTAAGGCACATGATAGGTACAAACACATCTGCTACTGAGTAGTACTTTATTTTTGACGGTCTTGAATCAGATATATCTACACAGGTAGGTTCGTTTGATTCGACGTGTGACCCTGTCCTGCATTTATTTTACAGCACAGTGGCTTGGCTCTTTTATTTTGTAAATGTACAACGCACATTCACAAAACCAAAACCCCCTTTTTGTTTTTACAAATGCATGTAAATACAACTCCAGATCCTTTGGTTGTGGTACTGCAAAGTGCAGTCAGGAACAGACAAGTCATATGTGGCAAAGGGTTCAGTATGGTCCAATGAAAGCACACACTTCTGAGGACACACAAAAGGGATGCTGGGTATTATTATAACTTTTTTTTTTTTAACCTCGGTAATTAAAATGTATACAATATACGTTTTTTTTGTAGTTTATTGATTTTTACCACAACATACATCTTTGTAAACACTGTGTAAAATATGCAAGCTTGATAAAGTCACATACGCCACAAAGAAAAGTCAATGCAGGCACATGCCATTCGCCTTGATGAGTGGATTCTCTTCCTGGAAAACAGACTGTACACATTTTCACTGGATTCAGTAAACAGTCTCACCAAGCAAGAGAAAAATGGCAATATGATTCTGTGTCCCTCTGCTTTGCTTCGTCTCGCTAACCCACCCTTAAACGTTGTAAAAATATATACTATATGACCAAACTTGATGTTTTGATTTGTACAGTGTGATGCCATTTTTTATATTTTGTCTTCCAGATACACTCGTCCTCCTTTGCTCTCTTCTTGCACATGAATGAATATCCAAATGACTCCACAAAAAAAACGGGCACTTTGAAAGAATAGAATATAAACATCTGTACAGTTTTCTTCATGCTCACAACTGAATATTTCTCTTTTAGATGCACCGGTGAAGGAGGGTTAAGGGTTTTGCGGTCTGAAAGCATCGGGAAGAAAAATGAAATAACTCTTATCAACACTCTCGTCTGTCTCCTTGTCTGACCTCTGACCCCTTGGTTTGAAGATGCAGCGGACATGTAATTCATCGCCTTTAGAAAGAACACTGTTAAACCCTTTTTCCTGTAATTGTTTTTTGACAAATACAAAATATAAATAGGTGATCATCGGCGTAACTCGACAATATTCCACACACATTTAAGTAATGTTGTTATTTCTGTTTTACAAACATGGTGAGCCTGTACCAAATGAAATGTGCTTTCCAAACAATGTGATATTAATATACAACTAAGATTTTTTTTCTCCTTCGTTTTTCCTTTTGACCCTAATATACATTTATATAAAACCCAACCGAAAAAACCGCTTTTCAATCTATCCTTTCTACACGAGAACAATCGTCAATCGCCTCTCTTTTTCAGAAAAACACAAATCATGTATAAACAAAATGCCTCATATCCTCTTTAATACACATCATTGACAACGAGCGACCAGCCTGGAAGATTACACAAGTAACCACATTGTTTCCGTTTAAGTTGACTTTTGCGATGCAGTGTGAACAGAAACCGTTTCTCCATCTGAAATACACACTCTGTCACTTTCCTTTCTCCAGACTTGCAGACTCTTGACTTCATACATGAGCTTCACTGTTATCCTCTTTTGATTTCAGAGCATCTCAGTGCACTTCTTCTTCTTCTTCTTCTTCTCTTTTAAATAAACACCATGGATTGTAAGTCTGTGTGAACATGTTTATCCGCTACGCTACATCTCTTCTCAGGCTCACCTTTGACTTTCTCCCAACAATCTTAAAACCAACATCCTGTGACCTTCAAAACACACCCGTCCACTCCTCTTCACATCCAAAAGCCAAAGCTTGACATCACACCGAAAGTCCCAAAAACCCATCAAATTCAGGCATGAACTTATTTTTCTTCCCAAAAAAAATCATCTGGCGTTTCTTCTCCCTTCCTTCAACACTTTCTTGTACCTTTCCATCGACCCTTCGTTCCTCCACCAGCACCGGCCTCTGTCCGTTTCTTATCCTCGGTAGAGCTCAACAAGAGTCAACACTGTAGCGTTTGCATGATGTTCAGTGGGAATGTAGATATGAGAAAGAAGTAGCAGTCGTCACTTTTTATTCTTTTTTTTGTTGTTTCCTTTTTTCTGAAAAGCATGAGAATGCTGGCTGCTCCTGCTGGGTAGTTGCTGTTGTTGTTGTGGTCATTATTTATTGATTCATTTTTTTAAATCCTCTTTTACTGTACAAAGTCCAACTCCAAAGATGAGCTCCATGTGAAATGGCAGTGGTGATGAGAGAGATCTCCTCTAGCTGGGTGTCGCACCGTCATTATTTTAAGCCTGGAGCACGTGGACAAGAGAGAGGAATATTAGAACACACACTCATACAGTTTAACACAACAACAAGTGAAGAGTTTCAGTCCAAATTGCTGCACAGTGACGTGCATTACGACAAATGATAATGAGCTACATCTAATCTCTGCTTTTTCTTACTGTCAACACATTTCAATAAAAGACCAATACCGACAATGAGTAAATCGATATTTAAATCTTAATGTAAAGACTTCCCTACCCTGACTGTGGAGCTCACCACAAAGCACAATCATTCCTACTTAAAGGTGGGGTAGGTAAGTTTGAGAACCCAGCTCGAGTGCGCTAGAATTTGAAAATACACAACCGGAGAAAATCTCCCACTTCCTTACAGAGCCCCTCCTCCAACACACACGAACGCGCACATGACCAATGAGGGCACGAGATAAGTTTGTGCACAGATGGAAGGCTGACAGGCAGGTAGGCCATCCAGTTATTTTAGCCGGGCCGGCTCAGATGATTGGTCGTGCTTTTTACAGTACTACGGCTTCCACAGATGACATTTTTTTATGGATCTTTTGTCAAAGCACTTAAAATATTCATTGCTATCGGGATGTTAAGAGCATTCCATGGAATATAACAAAAAGTGTATCTCGAGCCGGTTTCTCAAACTTACCTACCCCACCTTTAAGATGTAAATCTTTAAAGTTGAACTAATCAATATATAAATACTATAGTGGAAAGTTAAGCAGCAAAAGAGACAGATATTTCTCCTTCTTGGTAGATGAAATTGAGGATAAAAAGAGACTGAATATTTGATTTAAAATCATACAGAGGCCAAAAAAAACGACTTTATATGGATGTTAAAGTTGCGTTGTGTCTGCTCGATGTGTACATTGGCTAACACATTAGCAACTGACTACAGCCGCAATATGACCAAGGTGATAGTCAGCTTGTTTTGGATTATTGGATGACTTTAAAGTGATATATTATTGTGTCATGGGTTGGCCTTTAGACTGTAGCTTGTTGCGCTGCCCCCAAGTGGCCAAATCTACATGTTTATCAAACTGTATATGCTGTGTTTTTTAGCTTATTCAGAGCTGCAGAAAAGACACAGTTGGCATGCTTGTAATTGGACCTCTATGGTACAGATATATCAGGCTTTGCTTCACAGAAAATATGTATTATTAGAATCACTTTGTTTTTGGTGTTGGTCTTTACATTGGATTTTATGAGAATAGGACGAATACAGCTTATCAAAAGTATTTTCCTTAACCATGTCAGACTAAAATGTATCTTTTACGAGCATTGTAAAATCAATGGATGTGAATTTAGAGTGAAACTCTTCAGTTGTGCTCTTATGACAGACAGCAATACATCAGTGGGCATTATCTCAGTACTTGACAAATCACATCACTGTAGACAAATGCTTCGATGGTGTCAGTCCAGATGGCAAATGGAGGCAGGAGACAGCGAAACAGATGCTTAATGTGCCGGGTGAAATCCTGCATGTGCTCGATGGAGTGGAAAACTCACCTGATGATTCATTCGTATCATTAGCAACATGTATTTGTATTACAGAGGCACATCATACGTCTGTCTCTCTAACGAGCCACCATGTGATGTGCCTCCTGTGATAATACAATGGATGGAGGTGAAGGAGTTGACCTGATGGCCATTGAGAGATAGGACATAGATAAGAAGATGAGGATGATGAGGAGGAGGAAGGCAGCAGTGAGGAGGAGATAAATGCTGCCGCTGGAGACATGAGAATATTGAAGCTCAGCCAGATCAAGTCACTCAGTGGGACATTCAATAGTGGGTTCGTTTTGGAGTTTAGTCAAAAACGGTATGGCAAACCGTCAATAATGCACCGTACATTTATTTTGTAAAGGTTTAATTGCATTACTAGTTTAGATTTCCTTTTGGCCAACAACTAAGATGCATGAACATAAAAAAACATTTTTGAAATAAATGAAATTCAGTTAGTCTTGAGGATGTTCTAACAAAATAGTATTTCTCACAAAAATCCTTCATTAGATGGAAGTGGTTTTAATTGTAATCCTAATTACTAACACTGAATAAATCTTTCTGCTGAAATACATTTGATTCTCTTGACTGAAAAAATACATTTCAGAAAACCTCTCAACAAAAAAGAGAGGCTGTATTTCTTTCTTTCTGTTTCTTATATGGAAATATTCCCATCTACGTTACATAAGAAGCTACTTAGCAATAATTTATACCATGAATGCTAACGAGAAATATTCAAATCAACTACTTCAGAGCAGAACTGTGTGTAAACTGAATTGATGTGAGCTCACCCTTCATTACCTCTCTGCCTCGGACGTATTATAATGTGGCGATAATGTGTGTGTGTGTGTGTGTGTGTGTGTGTGTGTGTGTGTGTGTGTGTGTGTGCGTGTGTGCAGCTGATATGAGTTGGCTTCCATCATCAAATCATCGGCGCACATGAATTATTTATCAGAAGATATCTTGCATCGCGTGTGAGTCGAATGTGGACAGGAGGAGGTTCTGTCGGTGTGTGTGTGTGTGTGTGTGTGTGTGTGTGTGTGTGTGTGTGTGTGTGTGTGTGTGTGTGTGTGTGTGTGTGTGTGTGTGTGTGTGTGTGTGTGTATCTGTGCAAATCTTTTGCTTTCTCCTTCCTGCTTTTCATTAAGGGATAGCTGAGTCCCAGAGGATCCGTCTGAAGTGCAGAGAAATGATTCCCCTTTATCACTTGCTACCAATTTTCTGTTAAAGTGCTAAAATAAGAATTGGATTTTTATGCAATTGTCAGAATATAACAGGTCCATTATCTAAGCCCCGCCCACCTCATTTACTTTCTGTTCTCACATGTGACATGAGGCAGTTTACGATAAGGGGATGAATAAAGGTTTATCTTATATCATTTCATGAGCTGATAATCAGGCTAATGTTAGCTCCAATTAAAAAATGCAGGTAAGTAAAAGGGCAAACGTTATTGTTACTATCTTGTTATATAATCCTGCCTTGTTTACGTTCATGTTGGACATTTCTACTGCATGTTTTCACTTTTAATGTTACAATATATTAAGACAATGATTGGAAATGTTATGCCGTGAACTAAGCCTCTTAGCTTTGAGCCCTAGAATTAGTTTGAGTTACTTGAGGTTATATTATTGATGTGGTTTGTTTGTCTGATTGTTTGTAGAAACATTCATAACATTCAACTGATCTGCAAGTGATTGATGAACATTTCAAGGTGCAGGGTGATCGAGTGAGAGGTAGAAAGGGAAGCAGGCGGAAAGGATGAACAAACAAGGAATGACAAGGATGCTGGGATGCAACACAAAAGGTGAAGGGTGTTATTTGGTTGTGCTTTTATTTGGTCAGACCTACCATGCATGCATTTAGACCCAGGAGTCAACAGGCTGGGGCTTTACATCACAAGCGTCCACCAGACTGACCGCAGGCCTGTTACTCCTGATATAGTGTTTCCTATTTGTGTCATTCTGTAGCCACAGGAGGACGGGGTTAAAAAAAAAGGAAAAAACACAGCAAACAAAAAAGAAGTTAATACATTTCACAAATACACTCGCCAAACCACGCCACATGCATCCAGGATCAGAGGAGCCGGTGTTAGTTCCCTGCCTTCAGGAGGGCTCGGAAAGAGTGATTTCAAAACAGCGAATCAAAACATGAAAATGAAAGAGGGAGAGAGCCGTGTCACAGCCAAGTAGCATTCAAAGCGGGGAGAACACCTCTGGGAAGAGCAGACGGCAGACTTAACACTTTGGAGTAACGCTACAAAGCCTGCGCGCTGAAAACAAACACGCCTGTGATTACTGTGTCCACGGCTTCTAAACCCCACTCTGCCCTTTCAAGATGTGACAGGACAACTCCAGCATAAGTAGTGAACCTACTGTAAATATGATTAAGTGTCAAGACTGAGGTCAGTGTTGAGTCACGAAGCTGCCAAAAGATACTAAGGTACTTCAAGCAGGAACTTTTTAAAGGCTATGGCGCTCGAGGAGGGGTTTTATTTTACACTTTGCACAATAGTCTTCTACAGGAATACAACTGGTTTACTGTACACAGCAATAAGTGAATGTGTTAGTGTCAAATGTGCTAAAAAATATAATTACCTGCTGTTTTATGGTAAGAATATGTTGGTAAAAGATACCTTCTGATTTAAATATGTGTCCTGTTTGCTAATACACATGTAATCCATTGCCAGTGGGATTTAGATGATGACGCCGAGAAGCTGTTATTGATTTCCACTTCTACGGTAAAACGTTGTAATGTTTCTCAAACGCCTTAGCTGTCATCTTAGCCTTTGCAGTTTTAAGTGGTTTTTTTCAAACGTATTTTTCTTTAATTAGCTTCTTAGTGTTGCTGACCATGAGTTGAACCTCCCAGATTGATGCAGTGGTGCAGAGGTGTGCTCCAGGGTGTGGTCAGTGCACCGTGGCATCACAAGAAACACTAATGACAAGCCAAAGGACAGAGGTGCAAACACAAAGTGGACCTTTGCACCAGAAAGGGAAGTACAACGTGGCTTTTCAGTAAGGTGGTAAGTTCCCCAATAAATAACACAACTTACTTTAGAGAGGAAATACATTCTGAAATGCAACCTGAAAAATGTCTAGTTTCTAATTATCAGCTATGATCTCAGATGATTTGATTGTTAAAGCCACTGTGGCTCACACAATAAGCTGAAACTTGTGTGGAGACTATTTCTACAAAGAGCGGACATTGTTGCCACATCGATGCCTTTCAGGAAGGATAGGCTACTATACATGTATATCTAAACTAAATCTTTTAGTTCAGATAGATGAGCCACAACATAAAGAAGTCATACAAACCCATTTTCTGTAGGAACTTAAATCAAAAATATTTCCATTGGTATCATAAACTCTACCCAGTCTCTAATAAAAGGAGAATAACTACAGACTGAGGGCAAACTAAGAGCTGAACCCGACAGGTTTATGAACTTTGCTCGCGTCATACTTTCCATTGTGGCTTTGCCTCGGAAAGATCTTTAGGAGCTGGTTGTAACGTGCACAGTGAAGCAGATATATGACCGTGGACTTTTGCTAAACTGGCTTTAATGGACTCTTTATTGCTTTCATTTTACAACCCCGCAGGGAAAAAATCCCTTTCATCTAACACTGAAGCAGATCAAAACCAAACTACAAAAAAGGACTTGAGAGTCATCTGACATGTGTCATCCGTGCTCGGAGGCCATTATTCTGCGAGTCCTCTTTGAGGCTGAGCAGCCAATCAGATGAGCAAGAAATAAACTTTGACTGCGGTGTATAATCAGCAGAGGACCACTTGATAACGCGGCGGTCTGTTCAGTGCCGGAGCGAGGGTCCCCTCCACCAGGAGCGTTTGTTGGCGGTTCTTTTAATCAGTCTCAGATTAATTGCTTTGCAGACACCAGAAGCTTACACTCCATTAACTGGTGGCTCTCAGATGTGCACGGAGCAACATTAACAGAGAATGACAACTTCCAGCCTCTTTAGAGAATGGATAGGATTAAGAGCCTCTGATGAGGACCACCACAGAAAACATGGAGAGAGAGAAGGAAGAAGAAGGACACAGAGGAAGAGGACATGTGATAACATTTCAATATCATTATTTCATCCTGTTTCCTGCGGGTGCCTAGAAGAAGAAGCCTTTACCTTCAATGGCTCCCGTTCTGTCTGCTCCAGTGAGCCGTCCACCGTCTTGTATTTGAGGTCCTTGTCCCTCTGGTCGATGGTGGAGTAACCATCTAATGAGGGCAGAGAACAAGGGCTGCTTAATCCTCTCTGTCCGCCATTTAACAGAAAAGTGACAGAAAATGTACAGTGTTGTTTTTACAGAAGTGCCTGAACGTTAACAGACACAATGAGGTGCTTTTAGTTAAAGTGGACCTATCATGCTATATTTGAATAATATAGTGTAGGACCATACCTATATAAGGCATATTTATACATTTTTTTTTTCAAAATACCAAACAGATCATGCATTTTAGCCATGCCTCATTTCGCTCAATTTGACATTTTTTTGCTCTGTTTTTGCTAGGGCTGATTCAGTGAGAACAGCACCATCTACAGGCCTGGCATATGTACTACAGCGTCTCCAGCGCTTTCGAACGGCAATGGCCGTGGCTGTCTCCTCCTGATTGGTGGAGTTGGCCCAATAGCCGTAGCGCCACTGTCCTGACGTCAGGACAGTGTTCAAATCTGGATCAGTTTTTATCAGATCCGTTGCAGCCCCTTTTTTAGAGATTTGGGTATGGAGGAAAATAGAGAGGGTTGTGTTTTCTGACACTTGGTGAGTTCCCTGGAACACCGGGGACACATATTCATGTATAAAAGACGTACAAAAGTGCATTTTGCATGATAGGTCCCCTTTAAGTGAGAGATCTACTTCTTCCTCCTCTGCTTGCAGCAAATATTAGTCAAACTTTTGCCTGACCTTGTGTGAGATACAAAAGACAGCACACATGCTTTCTCTATACAAACTGCAGACCTTGCACCCTAACAGCGACAGGAATGATGTGGCTTTTGCAGCAGTGAAGAAGTGGGTCTGTTTCAGCAGTAATACATCAAATCTCCTCAGATAATACACAGATTCCTTCATTTCTCCTCCACTCAGCGTAAAGCTTCAAATTGTTGTGCATTTATTTATTTATTTATTCATTATTTCAATTATAATTATTAATGGTAGGCATACCTTTTCTTCACAGACTTTTTACACATAAATATTTTTTATATTTTTCTGCATTTGCAATGTTATCCCTGTTACATATAATATACATTCTACTGAGCTCTGAATGTTGTAAAAGAGCCATGTGACACATTTCTCCTTGGAGTCCTTCTCCTTGTTCAAAGTCGATGTAAGAAGCTTCATACAAGTCCTACTCTGCAGTATTTTTAGCCCTACTTTAACTTCGAGCACAATTCCTAAAGGGATTCTTGGACGCTTGATAAATATGGGCCCAGCGTGATATACCCTATGAGGATGTCTTTGAGTAAGTGTGTGAAAAATACCCTCTAAAAAGAGAATTCTTAATGGCAAACCCTCTTATTTTATCTAAAATAACTGCGAAACACTTCAGAATTTTGAACAACAGCAGGATTTTCACTTTGAAAGAAGCCCAGCAGAGCAGCTCTGCCCAATGAGATATTCGACGTGTTTTTATTTAAGTGGAGAACCACCCACATGTTTTAGTGTTAAGCTTCTAATGAAGGCCCAGCTTTGAACAAACATCTTGTCAAGAGAGGGGTCTTGCATTCAGCATCAAAGACGACATGTCTGCGAGATCACAGTGTGCAGCGGTTTGAAAAAAAAGCATCTTGGCAACGCTTAAAAAACGAGTGGAAGAGATGTCGAAGCCCCTGTTTGGAAACTGGAGAGAGATTAGAGGAGAGCGAGCTGTTCTTTGGCGAGGGACCATCATGCAGTCTGGCTCTTACCTGGACCCGGCTCCTCCATAGGTGTCATATCACCACTGCCACATTTCCTGGTGCCTGAAAAGCATTCATATGCCGTTTGAACACAAACAAACTGAGTCATGGAGCCAAACGCTGCTGCTTTTTCAGGGTAATGGTTCTCGGCCAGTGAGTGGATAATGCAAACTGAGAGTGGGCCGGTGTGAGCGCCGCGTTTCATGTCTGGATGCAAAGGAAAAAAAGGCCGGCACAAGACCAAGAATCAGGACATTAAATTGATGATATGCTTTGGACTCAAAGAGATGTTTGTTGTTGGGCCAATATTCTGCTAAAGTACCTCCCCACCCCCGCCTCATTTACTGCTGCTGTTAAAGAAAACCTACAACCCAGTTCTTGATGGTTAGGGGACATTCAAAGTTATCTCCGACCTGCTTACGTCAATTTAAAACCTACATGGAAAACAAAAAGAGTCTGAAATAAGGACATCTTTATTGGTCCAACCTAACTTTTTCTGCAAAGCTCCCACTATGATATTTATTTGTAATTCCCCTATGAACTGCATTCTTGCACAATAACACACCACACAGGAGAAGAGCGTAGCAATGTGACAGCACAGTGCTACAATAAAGCCATGAGAAGAAAAAAAAGGCATGTTCCAAGCAAAGTGGACACACACTTGGAGCGTCTCCGCCTCATCACACCCACTTGGTCCTCTAAACAGGCGTAAACAGCAACAGCCTCAAACACACACACACACACACACACACACACACACACACACACACACACACACACACACACACACACACACACACACACACACACACACACACACACACACACACACACACACACACACACACACACACACACACACACACACACACACACACACACACACACACACACTATACTGACCTTGGTTCTTCTCCATCAGGGGCAGGGTGGTGTCGTCGTAGCCTGGCTTGCCGTTCTTGGTTGCTTTAGGGGTGACTGTCGCTGTGGGCTGAGAGCAGAGAAAGAAAACATGTGAACACAGAATCACAGCTCCAACAGGGACAGGTGGAACCGAGGGAATATGTTGTCTGTCTCAATGCTAAGAAGGATTCTGACCAGACAAATATAATATCATATAAAAAAAGTTGACAAGTGACATGTTCAATATTAGTCTCTTTGTCCATTTGGCAGGATTATGAAAAACTACTAGTCCGCTACATATTGCAGCAGATCTGAATCACAGCAAAGTTCCACTGACTCAGTATACATTTGAATTACATTGCATTATTTGCTACGTTTGGTGACGAATTAATCAGAAAGATAAATTCACATGAATGCCCTCTTTAAGTAGGAACAACGATACCGAAGAAATTGGCCAACATTTGAAGACAAATTTCATTCCTAACTTAATCGGTTTCATCTGCTTTTCATTTTCCCACTAATGCTGGAAACACTAATAGCTCTTTGTAGTGTCCCCAAATTAGTATTTACAGCTCGGGAATATTACAAAGTTGAACAAATTACTCGGGGAAACCAAGTTGGGTAGTGGGACCATCGAAGGAGCACATGGACGCACCATTGGCCTTGGCAGGAGTTCATTGGCGATTTATATTCAAATCATTCTACGAAATGAGTAGTTGCTAATGACGCTACACTTTTTGTAATGCAAACACTCTCTTAGAGGGACACTTTATTTAAAGCTAAGTGGTTCTTCTCAACATCAGAGGTGGGAAGTAGTAGAGTACAAATACTTTGTTACTGTACTTAAGTACATTTTTCTGGTATCAGTACTTTACTCCACGACTTTTTACTTTGACTTCTTACATTTTGAACCCAAATACCTGTACTTTCTACTTCTTACATTTTGAACCCAAATACCTGTACTTTCTACTTCTTACATTTTGAACCCAAATACCTGTACTTTCTACTTCTTACATTTTGAACACAAATACCTGTACTTTCTACTTCTTACATTTTGAACACAAATACCTGTACTTTCTACTTCTTACATTTTGAACACAAATACCTGAACTTTCTACTTCTTACATTTTCCAAACAGGCTGGTTCCTTTAGTTTGAATGTGTGTTTGGTGGCGTGATCATTATTATTTAGAGTCATTGCGTGCCTATTGATTTGAACACGATCCGTGTATCCATCATTTCCTGGTCTTCTCTAAAGAAGAGGGACCAATGAAAACGTTGTCATGTTGCCGTTGTTCAGCATGGAAACATTCATTAGCTAACAATGACATTATTGTTCTATTAATATAAAGGGAGGTCAGGTACTCTTTAAAACAGATGGTAGTTATGGGTACTTTTTACTTAAGTACATTTCAAAGCCCTCTTTACTTTTACTTGAGTAAAGAAGTTTAGTCAGTACTTCTACTTTTACCAGAGTATGTTTAAACACGAGTATCTGTACTTCTACTTGAGTAAAGGATGTGTGTACTTTTGCCATCTCTGCTCAACATTTGTGTCTCGAAATGTTAATAAAATATATTCTTTAAGAACCTGAGATAACAACATCAGTGCTTACGATGCAGATTATATGTGATGATTTACAAGATGAGATTTCTGTACCTGGAAGTGGCTTTTGTTCCACCCGTCCTTGGTCAAAGCGTTCCTCAGTTCCTTATAGCTCCAGACCGTCTGCAGAACGTGGGACGCAGCCTTGGTTTCGCGAGCCGATTGGCTGAGAGGAGGCCACAGACAGGAAATGACAGGAAATGAGTAGGGTATTACAGCACACAAATCAATCCCTCTATTCAAAGACGCAGAGTCCCCTGAGCTGCTCCAAGGTCTACTTTTTAATTCATAGTGAGATGAGTGCACATTTCCTTTCATTAGCTACCTCTGAGACGCCAGTATTAATTACATGTGGGTGGGGGTCGCGCTTCAAAGAACGCTAATCTCATGTGGGTGAGAGGAAATGCGGCTATTTGGTCTGAGAGTGAATTATTTGGTATATTCATGCTAGTTAGAGCGACTCTCTGATCAATACTTCACCTCACAAGGACGGGACTTTGGGAAGTGCTCTTGATGTTAAATTAAAAGCAGGGTAGACGCACTTCAGTTTGATTGGCTGACACTGCGGCCATTTAAAAACAACTCTTTAGAATACCTGCGTTCATATCTGAGAGTTTTCATTACAAGGTTCTTGTGGAGAGCTTTAGAAGTATGACGACACTCTTATATAAGCAGCAACTTCAGAGACCCCCCCCCCCCCCCCTCTATAACAATGCTTCTGAAAGCCTGTTAATTAATGTGTGGTGTGTTGTTATGTGTGTGTGGGTGCAGCTTGTTAGAGTAAAGCATTGTGGGAGCCATTAGAGACACATTGCATTATCCTCCATGATTTTAAAGGCTCGTTGCTTTCAAGGTCACGCAGTAATTATTACATGTGTCTCCACGGTGTTTCTTTACTTGTGGCACGGTTCACATGGATATGAATGCATAGTGTGTGTTTGGCTCACTGTCGGAAATATAATTAGATTGACCTACAGTATTAAATCGATAATAGGAAAACGTGTGTTACAGCATCACTGGACATAGTGAGTAATTGGGTAAAATATGAACTCTTTAAGGAAGCTTATTTTTGAAAAAAAGGCAACAAGTTTTGAGTGTTTAATTGTGCATATTCAATATAGGGTGGCCTATGTGTAAAAGGTAGCCTACTTAATACATACATTCTTAAAAAATAATGGTTTGAATGCACTTTATCTAGAAATCTTAACTTTTTATATGTTGTAAAGTCACATTCATTTGGGATGTACTGTGTACACAGGTGGAAGAAGTCATCAGATAAGTAATAGTAGTGATATTAAATTGTAAAAATACTCTCTTACAAGTAAAAGTCCTGCATTCATTCACTCATACTTTTACTTGAGTAAAAGTAATGGCATCAAAATATACTTAAGTAACAAAAATAAAAATACTTGTATAGTGGCCCACAATACAATCATATGATTCTTGATGCATTCATGTGTTCATCAAGGCCAGTAAATATTGAAATAATATGAATTACTTTGTATACGGCTGCGGGATATCCTCACTTATAATTATAGGTCATTATTTTTTTATTAATTTAGATCTTGTATTAGTCAAAAATGTGAAGCAAATACATTTGGTGGAGTAACAATAACAATATTGCCTTCTAAAATGTAGTGTAATTAAATAAGTACCTCAAAACTGTACTCAAGTTCAGTACTGGAGTAAATGTACTTCATTACACCCCACCACAGTCTGTATTGATTGAGTCTCACCTGGTCCTGTTGATGGCCACCAGCTTCTCGATGGCCTGCGCCTGAGCGAGGGAGCGGGCGTTCTCCGAGGAGTCGGTCACGATCTCGTGGATGGTGTTCAGGATGGCCACCACCGTGTCCTCCTCCAGGTTCTTAGCCGGCCGCTGCTGGCCCGACGGCAGGTTGCTCACCAGGTCCCGCATGGCATAACTTCCTGTTAGGGCACATTATTTTAAAGGTTAATAATGTTAGTAATAGTGATTCATTTAAAATCTAATCAAGATCACAAATGAAACAGGTAATTATATCAGGCTTACTATTAAATATGCCTTAACGAGTTTTATAGAGGCGATACATGTAACTGTTTCATGCTGTTTCACTAGGATTTCAGACAGCATATTCTTGCTTTGAATAAATATACATTATTGTTATTTGCTTCAGAAATACTCTATTTAATCAAACTCCAGTGGTTAGATTTTACATAACATTTAAAAAAAAAGTACTTAAAGGTGGGGTAGGTAAGTTTGAGAAACCGGCTCGAGATACACTTATTGTTATATTCCATGGAATGCTCTTAACATCCCGATAGCAATGAATATCTTTAGTGCTTTGACAAAAAATCCATAAAAAAATGTCATCTGTGGAAGCCGTAGTACTGTAAAAAGCACGACCAATCATTTTAGCCGGCCCGGCTAAAATAACTGGATGGCCTACCTGCCTGTCAGCCTTCCATCTGTGCACAAACTTATCTCGTGCCCTCATTGGTCATGTGCGCGTTCGTGTGTGTTGGAGGAGGGGCTCTGTAAGGAAGTGACAGATTTTCTCCGGTTGTGTATTTTCAAATTCTAGCGATCTCGAGCTGGTTTCTCCAAAATTACATACCCTACCTTTAAGACATTCTTTGGATGAACTTTGGCAGACGACAAATCGATAAACTCACACTCGCTGCATCTTCATATTAGCTTTAAATGACATTTTAAATGTTTTTTTGCACATAATTGGGATTTTTACACCATCTCATACAATGGGGTTAAATGACAAAAGGATCTCTGTGAGACCTTTATGGTAAGGAGGAATACATACAGCCTTTCAAAGTTAATACCCCTGAGTATCGTTTGAAAGATGTTTGAACATTTCCTTTCAGACGCTCTGTATCAAACAATAAAGTCTACTATATTTCTGTCGATTTGGAACCGAAATGCTTCATCAATGATGCCATGTTAAATCAGTGTGTGAGGCTGTTGTTACCGATCAGGTCCTTGTTGCGGCGGTCGATGGAGAGGTTTCTCAGCGCGATGGACACCGCCCGCACCACCTTATCAGAGTCGGAGCGCAGCAGCTCCACCAGGATGGGAAGACCTTTCTCCTTACGCACCGTGGCTCGGATGTAGTTGGACCACTGGAGGGTAGAAAGAGGGCGGGATGTGACTACTTTTCATAATTTTTAACCTTTAACCTCCACACTGACAGCAACGTCCTGACATTCATGCAGACACACACAGACCCACCTGGGAGCTGCCCAGCATCACCACTGGGAACACTCCACTGAAGGAGCCCAGGTCACCTCCATGAGGACACACACACACACACATACACACACACACACACACACACACACACACGCTCAATCATTCATTCAGTAACTACAAGCTCTGCTCCTTGACTTATTCATGACATTACACAGTGGGACTCTGAATGGACATGTGATATCATTTGTCTTCATTTAAACATCAGTGGGTTTTACGTCTCATTTTTTTTGTTCCATGAAACATTAAGTTTGACATAAAAGGGTTTATCTTCTAAGCACTGAGACCCCGAGAGATGTAATTAAGGCAAGGACAGGCCTGGGTGATCCACTAGGTGGCAGTAGTAAGCTTTAAGAGACATGTTGATCCAGTGGTAGAGTAATAAGAAGGAGCAAGGAGTGAAGAGGATTGAAAGAAGCCGCTCTGTCCTCTCAGGGAGCAGGGCATGCTTCGTCCAGATGTGACAGAGTGATGTCACAGTATATATGTATATCAGTATGTAGTGTCTCTACTTTAAAGAGTCCTCTCCTGCTGATGTTCAGGTGTATATCAGTATGTAGTGTCTCTACTTTAAAGAGTCCTCTCCTGCTGATGTTCAGGTGTATATCAGTATGTAGTGTCTCTACTTTAAAGAGTCCTCTCCTGCTGATGTTCAGGTGTATATCAGTATGTAGTGTCTCTACTTTAAAGAGTCCTCTCCTGCTGATGTTCAGGTGTATATCAGTATGTAGTGTCTCTACTTTAAAGAGTCCTCTCCTGCTGATGTTCAGGTGTATATCAGTATGTAGTGTCTCTACTTTAAAGAGTCCTCTCCTGCTGATGTTCAGGTGTATATCAGTATGTAGTGTATCTACTTTAAAGAGTCCTCTCCTGCTGATGTTCAGGTGTATATCAGTATCTAGTGTCTCTACTTTAAAGAGTCCTCTCCTGCTGATGTTCAGGTGTATATCAGTATGTAGTGCATCTACTTTAAAGAGTCCTCTCCTGCTGATGTTCAGGTGTATATCAGTATGTAGTGTCTCTACTTTAAAGAGTCCTCTCCTGCTGATGTTCAGGTGTATATCAGTATGTAGTGTCTCTACTTTAAAGAGTCCTCTCCTGCTGATGTTCAGGTGTATATCAGTATGTAGTGTTTCTACTTTAAAGAGTCCTCTCCTGCTGATGTTCAGGTGTATATCAGTATGTAGTGTTTCTACTTTAAAGAGTCCTCTCCTGCTGATGTTCAGGTGTATATCAGTATGTAGTGTCTCTACTTTAAAGAGTTCTCTCCTGATGATGTTCAGGTGTATATCAGTATGTAGTGTCTCTACTTTAAAGAGTCCTCTCCTGCTGATGTTCAGGTGTATATCAGTATGTAGCGTCTCTACTTTAAAGAGTCCTCTCCTGATGATGTTCAGGTGTATGTCAGTATGTAGTGTCTCTACTTTAAAGAGTCCTCTCCTGCTGATGTTCAGGTGTATATCAGTAGGTAGCGTCTCTACTTTAAAGAGTCCTCTCCTGCTGATGTTCAGGTGTATATCAGTATTTAGTGTCTCTACTTTAAAGAGTCCTCTCCTGCTGATGTTCAGGTGTATATCAGTATGTAGTGTCTCTACTTTAAAGAGTCCTCTCCTGCTGATGTTCAGGTGTATATCAGTATGTAGTGTCTCTCCTGTGACATGTCTCCATGCTTTAATGTTCAAAAAGCTCTTTATTGTTCTCATACTGTCTGTGCTGCAGCACCTCTTTTCACCCTCTGTCTGAAACCAGAGCCCAGTCTGCTCTGATTGGTTAGCTGGCCGGCTCTGTTGTGATTGGTCAACCGCTTAGAGATGTCCCGCCCCTTAGCCTATCATTTACAATGTGTAGGAGCGCTAGCCAATAGGAGCACGAGTGTTAGATAGTGATGTGACTACTTGACTGAGAAACTCCCTCTGGAGGGGAAATAAGGATTTTAGCCTTTGCAGACCATTTACATGCACAGAAACGTGTATAACACACTACAGGAGAGGGAAAACCGCCCCCAAAAACACATTATAGGGCACCTTAAAAGATAATTCAGTCATTCTGATCAGCTCCAACAGGAAAAAACCAAAAGGAAAGGAGGATTTCTCCTCAAAATGCTCACCTGAGCTGAAAATCACTACTGCTAAATTATTAACGCTGAATGAGAGACTCTGGGCTGAAACTCCAAAAGATTAGTGGAGGCGTTTTTCCCCTAGAGAGAGAGAGAGAGGTGCTGCTGATTTCAGGACTGAAGGATGTGTTTATAGGCTGACACACGGGTGTAAAGAGAAGCTCTGCCTGCTGGGAAAAACCCAAGTGACCGCTCCAGCCTGAGGTGCTGCTCGTAAACTGGCATCTGACAACTAGCCTTCCCTGTTGATAACTCACTGAGAGCAGACGGCCTCTCTCTGCTCCACAGCAGCCGCTCTAATTGGAATAAAAGTCTGATCCTGGGTGAGGAGGCTCTTATATCATCCATCATCAGAGGCAAACATCTCCAGAGGAAAGTTTGGGCTGCTTCAGTTATCTAACCTTTATCTGGTCGTGTCATCCTCCTTATTTCACGGCTTGCTTGACTCCTGGAAACTGATTGGTACATTTTGAAACTCAGCGATCTGCTATTTTTTTGATAACAGACCGTTGCTAAGGACACTCTAAACTCTAGATGATGTGCAGTCATATCAATCAGCGGAGAGAAGTTAGGTCAATATGACCTCAGCTGTTGCCAAAACATTTGATGAGTTTTCAGTCTGATACGATCAGAAAACACTGTCTGAGACTATTTCCTGTTTACACACTGCTTATATGATTTGAAGAGACAGTGCATCAACACGTACGCTGTGTCTCAAATACCTCTGTACCTTCACCTTTTGTTTTGAGTGCATAGGTGTTTTTTCCGTGGCACAATGCACTTTGAGTACCCCGATGACACACTCATAACAGTCAGAGAGTTAAGGTGAAAAGGCGGTCTCTTCTCACACTCTCGCCATCTTGGCCTCCTAACGGAAGTTACAGACCTGGTTGAAAGAGCACTAAGCAGTTATAAGTTATACCAATGGGTTTTCACACTATTTAGGCAACATACCACTATACTGGTGCCAAAAAGAAGCCACCGTTATTTTAAAGGGTTAATTGAGTAGTCTGTAATGTTTTGGTACTGCATACAATCATTGTTAGCTAGCTGGTTAAACATGGCTATCGTCACTTGAAGTCAAAGCAGCTGAGTGTGATTTAAGACTACACAGTCGAAATTAACATGAACAAGTGTTCAACCCACAGAGGTGGGAAGTAGTGGAGTACAAATACTTCGTTGCTGTACTTAAGTACATTTTTCTGGCACAGTACTTTACTCCACTACTTATTTTTCTGACGACTTTTTACTTTCTACTTCTTACATTTTCCAAACAGGCTGGTTCCTTTAGTTTGAATGTGTGTTTGGTGGCGTGATCATTATTATTTAGAGTCATTGCGTGCCTATTGATTTGAACACGATCCGTGTATCCATCATTTCCTGGTCTTCTCTAAAGAAGAGGGACCAATGAAAACGTTGTCATGTTGCCGTTGTTCAGCATGGAAACATTCATTAGCTAACAATGACATTATTGTTCTATTAATATAAAGGGAGGTCAGGTACTCTTTAAAACAGCTGCTAGTTATGGGTACTTTTTACTTAAGTACATTTCAAAGCCCATACTTCTTTACTTTTACTTGAGTAAAGAAGTTTAGTCAGTACTTCTACTTTTATCAGAGTATTTTTAAACACGAGTATCTGTACTTCTAATTGAGTAAAGGATGTGTGTACTTTTGCCATATCTGCAAACCGACGACCTGTCAGTGTAATAAGGAAGTATCCAGATTGATAAACCCTAAACCTCTAAACCCTTCAGACTCTGTATTCCTGCACCTGCTACTGAAAGGTCAACCATCAGGACAGACTTTTCAAAAATACAATATGTGTGCAAATACAATCTAACATTCAGACAGGACATAGTGTCCTCGTGTTGTGCCCCCCCAACCCCCCCCCTCCCTCCTCAGGGACTTACGGTCCACTGTCCAGCGCTGAGGTTCTGCAGAGCGCCTGCAGCCGCCTCCAGGGTGTTGTAGTTCTGGCTCTCCGTCAGCAGAGACAGGTACAGCCTCACCACTTCAGGCTGATACAGCAGCTCGAAGCCTGCAAGGAAACACACACACGCACGCACACACACGCACACACACACACACACACACACACACACACACTGGTTAGACTATCTGGCAAAAGACAGACAAGCCAATTAGGCTGAGTGAAGGTACCGGCAGTACCAGAGTGCTGGGTTTTATCTCGGACCATGGGGAGGGCTTTTTGGCGAAGGGAAACAGGGGAAGAAGCTTGGGTTTCCCATAATGCACCATGTCTCTGGGACAACCTTAACAAATGCAACAAAATTAGGATTGCAGCTAATTGCACGGAAAACAGGTCCGTTTTTTTTATTCACGTGGAAGACTTTTCTTTTTTTTGTCGCTGCCTTTTATTGAATTAAATATCCATTAAAACAAATGCTGGAACGGTGCTTAGAAGGTTTAATAAGCATTATGATTAAATATACTTATAAAGGATGAGAGGACAAGAAGGAGAAGTTATTGATCCGACCAAACCCAGAGCCACTATAGTCGATAATTAGGCCTTTCTCTGATGGAAACGTAATGACATTATCAGCTGTTAGACAGTGCAAGCTCACAGAGAGACATTACATCATATTCATACAGGGTCGTTCTTATTTTGCACAACTTCTTAAGTGCTTTACAAGGGATCAACAAGACGATTCAATTAAGCAGGAGAGGGGGGGGGTTTCAGAGCGAAGGTTTCTCCTGTCAAGGTCACGTTGAGCTGCTATCATCTCTGGAGGGAGGTATGCATCTTTTATGGCGGGACGCATTAACCACAGGAGGGGGAGACATCTCGTCAGACTTTAATGGCTTCAGCAAAACACCTCTCTGCTGTTTTTAAGGAAACTGAAGGCACATTTTGACGACTATGTGCATGTTCGAGTGTTGTTTTAGATACATCTCAGGAAGTAGTTATGGTTAAGATGGAAAGGAAATGTTTTTAGAGTGAGAAATCAAAAACAGTTCTTCAACAGGGGGCTGAATCTGAGGCTTGATAGAGGTAGATGTGTTGGAGTGTTTTATAAGTTGGTTCACACATACAAGGAATTTGCTTTGGTTTTTAAAAAGGAGCAAATATAGAACAAAAAAACTATTAAAAAATAAAACAAGAAATGTTTAATAATATATAAAAAATACAAACATATATAGATATAGAAATATACAAATGTAGGTATGATAGGAACATGACAAATGACTTTTTATAATAAAAAATGTGCAGTTTATCAGAATTTCAGTTGTTAGAGCTGGACATTTTAAAAAGACCTCTGCAATTTTTAATAGCCCTATTTAACTGGTAGCCAACATCTTCCATTAAGCCTGCGTCACACCGTCCCGAAATTGACACCAGATGGACACACGATAAAGAAAAGGTTCAAATTCGGCTCTGATCGTAACAACATCGGGCCATTCGTGAGGGCATCTTAAGCCATCGTATGACCGCCGGTGGAGTTTCTCAGGCTCCGGCAGCAACTTCGTGAGCGGTGGCAAAATCTTTGGCATGCCAAACAATTGCCGAAGGACCTTGCGAAGGTTCATTTTCGTGTTGAATTCGTGTGTCCATTTTGCCCTTCGTAAGGCCATCGTGAGGGCATCTTGTCAAATCGTGTCATCTTCGTCTGTACTTCGTGTGATCATCGGTGCCATCGGGCATTTTCCGCCTCACGAAGACAATACGAAGGAAACAAGAAGCTGCCCGATTGTCTTAGGAAGGCAACACGACTACGTGAAGCCCTCGCAATGCCGTCGTGTAGCCATCGTATTATAGTAAAATGTGTGTTCTGTGAAACTGAAAAGGATATTACATTGTTTTTGTTACTTTCGTTGCAGTTGTATGTCTTAAATGTAATTTAGGTTAAATTCCTGTTTTATTTAGATGCTTTTATTTTGAAGGCGAGTTTACGCTGTTGACAGGAAGTTGTTGTTGCTATGGAAACAACACGACGGAGTGTGTGGTTCGGGTGCCATCGTGTGGCCTTCTGTAGGCATCGTACTTGCTTCGGCTGTTACTTGGCTGTTGACTAAGTTCGGGGCCATCTTCGTGCGAAATTCACAATTCCATATTTGTGTGTCCATCTGGTGTCAATGTCGGGACAGTGTGACAGGGGCTTTACAGAATGTCACCAGCAGCTTCCTTATCCTCGGCACTATAAGCAATTTCCAATCCTTCTTCTATCCCTTTAGGGCTTGATTAAAAAAATATATAACCCACTGTTTACCACTGAAGCATGCATTTCCAAGTCTCACTTTGAAAACCTCTGTATCTTGTGGGCAGGGATATATAAAAACAATATTGATTGACGTGAAAGCAAGCGCTGAAAAAGCCTTCAGTGCGTTTTTTTGAGATCTTTTTGTTCCAAGTACAATTGCATGAAAGCATTAAGAGGGCATCTTAAAGGGGACCTATCATGCAAAATGCACTTTTGTACGTCTTTTATACATGAATATGTGTCCCCGGTGTTCCAGGGAACTCACCAAGTGTCAGAAAACACAACCCTCTCTATTTTCCTCCATACCCAAATCTCTAAAAAAGGGGCTGCAACGGATCTGATAAAAACTGATCCAGATTTGAACACTGTCCTGACGTCAGGACGGTGGCACTACGGCTATTGGGCCAACTCCACCAATCAGGAGGAGACAGCCACGGCCAGTGGCGGCGCCAGGGTATGGCTGGGGTAGGCTACAGCCATACCAAGAAATGGCTTAGCCCCACCTCAGCCCCACCATGAAAAATGATGTTAAAGTAAGCAAAATAAAGTCCGTCAACTCGCGCGGAGTAAATTGCACAGACAGCAGTTAGTAAGATTGATTTCAGTAGCCACTTGTATGGAAATACCGAAGACTAGAAACAGTTTTGAAAACTTTTGTCACGTAGTGATCATCTTCTCAATAAAACATCTTTAATAATGTCTTCTGGCCAATCAGAATCACGATAACGGCGTGGTGTTGTTACAGGAAGTCCCGACGGAGAATACTTTTGCTGTAGTACATCTCTACACATCGATACAACATTACGTGTTGATTTAATAAGACCCCACGGTTTGATGATTGATAGGTGTGTGGGCTGTCTTTCATGTTGACACACAGAACAATGGAGGCTATCCACCCTTATCCACAATGTAAAGTAATTCACACAGCCTCTTTCCTCTTCTCTGTGAGGAGCAGCAGGTTCAGCTTTCAGAACAAAGTAACAAAACAAAAATGGCATTCATTTTTTTTTTAAATGTGTAGTAATAGATGTATGTATTTTTCTTCTCAAGAGAGTACCAGAATGTGTATTTTGTGTTAGTATTTAAAAAAATCTCCTGGGGGAGAATCCCCCAGACCCCCCTGCAGGGGTTGGGTTTTCAGCATGTCAACTCTTTCACCTGTGGGGAAATTGCAGGATTGGCTCCAGGTCGCCCTTTTTGTTTACTACAAGACATTGCAAATACTGACTTGAGCCCCACCACTGTATGGGTTAGCCCTACCATAGATTACCCAACAAAAATACTCTGGAGCCGCCACTGGCCACGGCCATTGCCGTTCGAAAGCGCTGGAGACGCTGTAGTACATATGCCAGGCCTGTAGATGGTGCTGTTCTCACAGAATCAGCCCTTGCAAAAACAGAGCTAGAAATTGTCAAATTGAGCAAAATGAGGCATGGCTAAAATGCATGATCTGTTTGGTATTTTGAAAAAAAAAAAGTATAAATATGCCTTATATAGGTATGGTCCTACACTATATTATTCAAATATAGCATGATAGGTCCACTTTAAGGTAACATTATTGTCAGTAGAATAAAACAGAACAGTGAAAGAAGGATGGGTGTTCTTTGTGAGTTTTTAAAACGGAAATCCACATCCCACACCCGTAATTTGCCGAGCACAGACGCACTCTGCCAGATTGAGACACGGCTACATAGTTGTTAACACTGAAAATGCAGGTTTTCATCCCTGTGGCGTTTTCCCAACCCGAGATCATGCCATGCTTTCTCCAGAATGTGTGTGGGAGGAAGCGCAGGTCGGGAGGATGTGACTGAAACCTGTAACTTATTTTCCATCATGCACAGGACCTCGAGTCGTAACCGTGTGCTCAAACATGAATCACATCAATGGGTTTCTTCGGGGGCGACACATGAGGGGAGAGTGTGCAAAACCAGACACTCGGCAACATTCTGCATGCTCCTCATATTTCTGGGCCTACGGGGTGCACACTCAGCGAACTGGAGACCATGTTGCAGGCTCTCGTGATGACAGACGCTTCATCTCTAAGGCTCTCTGCACAAAATGTCAGCCATGTTCAACCTTTGGTGCCGACTGTGCTTTCTTTTGGGAATATAATCTGCAAATCCACATTTCCTACATCTTCTAATTCCTTGCAACCAAGTGACTTGTGAAATTGCCCTTTTTACAAACGAAGGAGCCAAGAGAAAACACGTGCGGTTCAACAAAGGAGGATGAGGATGGAAGGGGATTCACTCAGCCTTTAAAACTAATTCCTTTATCCTTAGTGGAATTCCTCGCTGTGGAGCCAGAGGATATTTTCCAGAGCTTTCACTCAGCACCAAAATACGGAGGTCTGTCCAAAAAGCACAAGCTGTTTTGATGGCAGCCGTGCACTGTAGGGTTGTTTTCATCAGTCCTCTCCTGCTGCACTTTTGTCCTGGTAGTTGTCAGTTTGTTAGGCTGGATTACAATTCATAGGGGAGACGAGCTGTCAGTGTGACGCGACCTTGGCTTTGCTCAGGACAAACCACAGCCTATGTTCACTGACAGACTGCAAACATGATGGGATTATTGCAATATGGAGTGAAGTAGCATTGAGTCTACTTGTGTTCTTACTTTATAGCAACTGCTCTGATCCTTTACCTATAGGAAAAGGTACACGTGCTGGCTAACCATGTGGAAGAAATATGTTTACTACAGATGATGAATTCCTGAATTTAAGCTGTGCATGTTATACAAATGTATTTTAAGGAGCTTTAATCAATATATTTATATTACACGGTCGCTAAGACTAAGATCTATTTCCACTCAGAATGAAATT